TTTATATCATTATTTAAAATTTGTATCATTGAACTCTCTGTGTTCTTTTAAAATAAAAGTTATTAGTTCGGACAACAGTACGAGTTGTTTTTTCTAAACTTAAAGGACCACTATAGTGCCAGGAAAACATACTCGTTTTCCTGGCACTATAGTGCCCTGAGGGTGCCCCCACCCTCAGGGTCTCCCTCCCGCCCGGCTCTGGAAGGGGAAAAGGGTTAAAAACCTACCTTTTTCAAGCGCTGGGCGGAGAGCTCTCCTCCTTCTCTCCTCCTCCGATCCTCCTCCTGGGTTGAATGCGCACGCGCGGCAAGAGCTGCGCGCGCATTCAGCCCGTCGCATAGGAAAGCATTTACAATGCTTTCCTATGGACGCTTGCGTGCTCTCACTGTGAAAATCACAGTGAGAAGCACGCAAGCGCCTCTAGTGGCTGTCAATGAGACAGCCACTAGAGGATTAGGGGGAAGGCTTAACCCATTCATAAACATAGCAGTTTCTCTGAAACTGCTATGTTTATGAAAAAATGGGTTAACCCTAGCTGGACCAGGCACCCAGACCACTTCATTAAGCTGAAGTGGTCTGGGTGCCTAGAGTGGTCCTTTAAACCTCAGTATTTGGGTTTAATTGCCGTGTTGGCACTTTAAGAAGAAAAAAAGTTGGCATGTATTGCGGTTTGGGCACTCGGGCTCAAAAAGGTTCGCCATCACTGCTATAGAGGTTCATTTTCACCCAACATACACTGCTCAAAAACATAAAGGGAATACAGAAATAACACATCCTAGATCTGAATTAATTAAATATTCTTCTGAAATACTTTATTTACATAGTTGAATGTGCTGACAACAAAATCACACAAAAAATAAAAAATTGAAATCAAATTTTTCAACCCATGGAGGTCTGGATTTGGAGTCACACTCAAAATTAAAGTGGAAAAACACACTACAGGCTGTTCCCACTTTGATTTAATGTCCTTAAAACATGTCAAAATGAGGCTGAGTAGAGGGAACACAAAAATAAAAAATCCTAGATCTGAATTAATTAAATATTCTTCTGAAATACTTTGTTCTTTACATAGTTGAATGTGCTGACAACAAAATCACACACAAAAAAAATAAAAAATGGAGGGGGCGTGGCCTGAACGGGAATGGAGTAGGTCGCATCTCGAGCCTGCTCCGCGGCCACAGCTCACACTAGCACCCATCAACGAGCACTGACCGACCTGGGATGGGCAGAACTAAGAGACCCCACACGCCGGGTCCCTCGCAGGCCGGTTCGCCGGGTCGCACCTCGGGCCCCATGGACGGCTATGTGTGCACGCCGCGAGACATGCGGTCCGTGCCGGCCGCATTCCAAAATGGCGCCGGCCTCCCCAGGGGAAAGCAGCTGTGACAGCCAGACTCACCCAGGGAAGAATCACTCACCCAAATAGCTTCAGATGTGGCTAAAATCACTGCAAATATGCTGTCCCGTGCTGATAAAGCTGAGATGCTGGCAGAAATCAGGACTGCAATCAGGGAGGAAGTTATGGAGGTGAGGAAAGATCTGACAGCCCTGGAACACAGGGTAGAGACCCTAGAAGCAGACAGAGCCCAGACTGTGCAGCACCAACATGCCACGGACACTGCCACCACCAGACAAGGCATCGTCTTGCTAGATCTTAGGAGACAACTAGAAGACCTGGACAACCGCGGACGGAGAAACAACATCCGCATAAGGGGACTACCAGAAAACGCGGACGAGACGCTGCCAGAACTCCTGACAGACCTGTTTACGCATATTCTGGGAGACAGAGCACCAGCAGACTACGGCATTGAAAGAGCCCACAGGGCTCTGCGACCCATGTCCCCGGAGGGACCACCGAGAGACGTAATATGCTGCCTGCTGTCTTACGCCTTAAAAGACGACATCATGAGAGCGACGCGCAACCAGCAGAAAATCGCCTTTAGAGACGGGCAGGTCTCGCTCTACCAAGACCTCTCCGCGCTCACATTGGAGGCCAGGAGGGCGCTACGTCCAGTAACCACCATCCTACGAGAGCGGAGGATCCCGTACAAATGGGGCTTCCCCTTCAGCCTGCAGGCGAAGGTGGGCCAGACCTGGCATATTATACGCTGGCCAGCGGATGTACCACGCTTCATACGAGCCACTAGTTTACCAGCGGTGACGGTTTCCAACTGGGTCTTGGAGCGACAACCACAACATCCACAAGCCGCCAGCGACAGGCCGGGCACAGGCCTTACAGGTAGCGGGTTCCGGTGGGGCGGCCCGGACAGCCACGAAGAATAATGGTCTTCTTTGAACCTGGCCCCCCATCCGGCCGTCCCAACGGCTGTACAGCCACCCCCCCAATGGCCCCCCAGCCACTACAGTATGAATCCACGCGACACCACTGAAAACCTGGCCACAGACCCTCAGAAGCATCAGTGGGAGACGGACACCACAGGATGGCAAGACCCCCCACGCACCTGGTGAAGCCACGGCACACCTTGGTATGTACTTGACTCCCTGACCTAAGCCCGTGACACAGGGTATTGAGCCACATTAGCAGGGGGTGACCCGGCCGGAGCACCACAACCAGGGGAGCAGACCCTCACGGGACAGACTTTGCATGGACATGTCACGCAGAGACTCCCCCGGCTACCGCGGCCCGGTTACACTAGCTACCTTTGGGTGGGGGGGAGGGGGGTGGAGGCGTGGCGCTGCCACCATCCAAGGTTGCACCAACCACTGTTGGAATGATCTCCCAAAGCCCTAGCCAGGTGGGTGCGACCGTTAACACGGATTCTAGCACCTCCCAGACAGCCGAGAGCGTTCCAGGCAGGAAACAACGCCGCCAAAGAGGGGTTCGGGAAGACACCTTGGGGGGGGGGGAGAATGGGGGGCCTCGCTTTGCAACTGTCTATAATGTTTGTTATATGGTTTTTGTTTTTGTTTTGTTTTTTATGCTTGCAAACAATTGCTAGGCGTTGTAAAGGTTATGTAGCCACAGCAACAAACTAGGGTCAGACCTGGGGCCCAAGCCGGATAGTACACATGTGGGCCGCCATGGGGAGGGGCAACGATGGCGGGTGGGGTCTCTGGAACGGGAACATGCTCGGACAGTTTGCAAACCGACACGACAGGTGAGCTGGGAGCCAAGGGAAGGGCTTGACATGACATAACCAAATGATCCAGACTAGAAGGACCCCATACCCCAAGTAACAGACTCACGTTGTACATACACTCGGAGGCCACCGAGGTGACTCACCCCTAGGGGAACAGACACCGGAGGGCGACAAAAAATCGAGGCGAGTCACAGTTGCCTAACTCTCGGACACACCTTCCCCGGACACCGGACTGGCCTACCCCTATACCCACTACCCACTGACACACACATCCCCACACACACCTCACACATACAGCCTATAGCAATGGGCTCTAACTATAAGCCGACTCCGCTGACCCTGTGGTCCAATAATGTAAGAGGCCTAAACATTCCCGAAAAGAGGTCCCAACTACTTCGCACACTGTGGGCAGAGCGTGCCTCAGTGGCGTTTCTACAGGAAACTCATCTTCAGGGCACAGAGGCGCCGACCGTGAGAAACGGGCGCTTCCCCATAGGATTTTATGCCAACCACCCAGAAGGGAAGAAGGCCGGAGTAGCAATCCTGATCTCCAGTGCAGTCCCATTCGTCTGCATGGAGCAGAGGTCAGACCCGGGGGGTAGATACATATTTATCAAGGGAACAATTGCACAGACCACCTACACATTTGCCTGCCTGTACTCCCCTAATCGACGCCAACACGTCTTCCTAACTAAGACGCTAGCATTACTAAACAAATTCAGAGACGGCCTTCTGATTGTGGCGGGAGATCTCAATACACCCCTTGACCCTAGAATAGATACATCCAGGGGAGAAATTTCGATACCAGATCACTGCATACGCACAACAGGGAGGGCTTTAGCCCGGTGTGGCTTGGCCGATTGTTGGAGAGTGGCACACCCCGAGGGCAGAGATTACACCTTCTATTCGGCTGTGCACCGGCATTACAGCCGAATAGACTACATCCTAATGGCTCAAGAGGCCCTCACACTACTCCAACGAGCCAACATAGGACTTATAGCAGACTCAGACCACGCCCCCACAACAGTACAAATCCAGTCCCCCCTACATAAACCCACTGAACGGCAATGGAAGTTAAATGAAAACCTATTGCTCGACCTAGCGGACAAGGAACAAGCCAGGCAAGCGCTGACACAATACCCCACCAGACACTCCCCCCCTAACCGTATGGGAGGCACATAAATGTGTCATCCGGGGCCACTATATCAAAATATGCTCACAGCGCAAAAAAGAACGCATGCAACAATTGTCTACCCTAAACGCACAAATCGCCACATTAGAGCAGGCACACAAACAAAATCAGGGGTAGGACGAATTTCATCAACTGACGGAGCTTAGGAGGCAAAGGCAGGACATACTAACCAAGGGACTTTTGCGCACCCTTAGAAAGTCAGCCCGATACTTCTTCGAGTACTCCAACAAGAGCGGTAGGCTTTTAGCCCGCCAGCTTCAGGACAGACGAAGGGCGAACCACATACACAAAATTAAAACAAGAGACAAGACTGAAACAAGTATGCCTGACGGAATCCAGCGGGCCTTCGTGGACTACTACACAGACTTATATAACATCCCCAAACCCACGACAGCCACCACTCATGCCCAACGCCGTCACCTAATATCGGAGTACCTAGACCAAAACGTAGAACGACAACTTACACCTGAAATGTTGGAGGAACTAGAACAACCCCTCACGATAGAAGAGCTAGCGGCTGCATTAAAACTTTCCAAAACCCATAGGGCTCCCGGCCCAGACGGCCTCCCAATAGCCTACTTACGAACATTCTGCGACATTTTACTGCCGAACCTTCTACGGGGCCTCGGGTCGCTTCGAGACGGGGAGAAGTTCCCCACCGACTCATTAGCGGCCATAGTCACGGTAATACCCAAGGAAGGCAAGGACCCAACGAACTGCGCAAGCTACCGTCCCATATCCCTGCTCAATGCGGACCTCAAATTGTTCGCCAAGACACTAGCCCTGCGAATCGCAAAGCACCTACCACACCTGGTGCACTCGGATCAGGTCGGGTTCGTACCTGAAAGGGAAGGAAGGGACAACACCATTAAAGCCCTAAACATTCTGCAAGTGGCAAGGTCGCAACACCGGGAGCTTCTCCTTCTCTCGACAGATGCCGAGAAGGCTTTCGACCGAGTGGACTGGGTGTATCTGGAGGAGACACTCAGACACTTGGGATTCGGCCCTCATATGCGGTCATGGGTCCTCTCCCTGTACACGAGCCCAACGGCTCGGATACGGGTGAACAGAGCCCTGTCCGCCCCCTTCCCCATTCGGAATGGAACCCGCCAAGGTTGCCCGCTGTCCCCCCTCCTGTTTGCCCTCTCCCTGGAACCCTTCCTGGGGGCGGTCCGACGGGACGGGGGCATCGCGGGATTCACCGTTGGCCGACGAGAATATCGGGTAGCCGCATACGCGGATGATATGTTGTTTTTCCTCACCCAACCGCGGATCTCACTGTCTAATCTTCTGGCTGCATTACGAAGATTTGGCTCGATATCTAACCTTAAGCTCAAGACAGATAAGTCTGAGGCTCTTCACCTATCAGGCTCTCAGGATCCCTCCCCGACGCTACATACCCAATTTCGCTTCGTGGTGCCCCACTAAATTGAAATACCTGGGCATATGGCTACCTAAAGACATGACCCAACTGTACAACTGTACTACTGAGGGATCTCCTCCCAGACCTGGACTAAAGCATCTGCCAACTCCTGGACAGTCTGTGGTGCAATGGATTGTTGGTGGATGGAGCGAGACAAGTTGTCCCAGATGTGCTCAATTGGATTCAGGTCTGGGGAACGGGCGGGCCAGTCCATAGCATCCTTCGTCTTGCAGGAACTGCTGACACACTCCAGCCACATAAGGTCTAGCGTTGTCTTGCATTAGGAGGAACCCAGGGCCAACCGCACCAGCATATGGTCTCACAAGGGGTCTGAGGATCTCATCTCGGTACCTAATGGCAGTCAGGCTACCTCTGGCGAGCACATGGAGGGCTGTGTGGCCCCCCAAAGAAATGCCACCCCACACTATTACTGACCCACTGCCAAACCGGTCATGCTGGAGGATGTTGCAGGCAGCAGAATGTTCTCCACTGCGTCTCCAGACTCTGTCACGTCTGTCACATGCTCAGTGTGAACCTGCTTTCATCTGTGAAGAGCACAGGGCGCCAGTGGCGAATATGCCAATCTTGTTGTTCTCTGGCAAATGCCAAACGTCCTGCATGGTGTTGGGCTGTAAGCACAACCCCCACCTGTGGACGTTAGGCCCTCATACCACCCTCATGGAGTCTGTTTCTGACCGTTTGAGCAGACACATGCACATTTGTGGCCTGCTGGAGGTCATTTTCCAGGGCTCTGGCAGTGCTCCTCCTGTTCCTCCTTGCACAAAGGCAGAGGTAGTGGTCCTGCTGCTGGGTTGTTGCCCTCCTATGTCCTCCTGCACGTCTCCTGATGTACTGGCCTGTCTCCTGGTAGCGCCTCAAACTTTCTTTCTTTATTGTCTAAATTAGGGTTACCCCCTGTTGAGATTACTTTAAGTAACCTATTTCGAAGTCTCCTACATATAATTTATGTGTAGCAATCTCCTCTATTTTTATTCTCCTCAGTAATAAACTTCCTTAAAATTAACAACAAAAACTTTAATGAAATAATGTTATTACAAATTTTTTTAGGGATGTGCATGATCCAAAAATTTGGTTAGGTTTGGAAATTCGGATAAGAAAAATAATTTGGCACTTCGGTTCGATTTGGCACTTCGGAAATTCAGGAATTCGGGACTTCGGCAATTTGGAAAAAGCAGTAGGGCTCCCTAACCTAACCCTAACCCTACACCCTAACTCTTAACCCTAACCTTAACCCCTTAACCAACCATATCATTCACATAATTTTCACTCCCTTTTTTTTTTTTGCCACTTTTCAGAAATCCGAAACACTTCGGCACTTCCAAAATTCGTCACTTTGGCCATTTGGTTTGGTTCGCCACTTCCAAAATTCGGCACTTCGGCACTTAGGACATTCGGAAGCATACGAATTGCCAGAAATTCGTCCAAATTCACATTCGGACTGAAATGAATTGAACATGTCTATTTTTTTACTTTTATTACTTGTTTCGTTTAACCCCTAACTTAATTGACACTAAATTCCTCATCTTCTCACTATCTACCACCCACCCTAACTAACTAAATCAACAAATTAAAATGAATAAAAAAAAACCTATAAATGTAACCCCAATCGTTAAAATAATCAAATGTAATGCCTGAGGATAAAAAAAGAACACTGTATTATACTGTAAGCTGTAGTGATCAAATGACACGGAAACAGAGCAAAAAGGGGGTTTTGAATACTTTGAAACAATAAATTATTTGCAAGAATACAGTGTATATCTGAAATCAATCTCTCTCCACTTCACAATGCAGACAGTGATGGCAGGAGGCGCATCATATGTCCTCAATGTACTATGACTACCACATGTGCTGACAGCGATCACAATGTTGCTGGTGTGCCTCACACACCAAGCCAACCAGACACAGCATTAATTGTGTGATCACTCACACTGTGGCAATCTGGGGATAATTTTATGGAATCATTTCATCATGACCCTGTCATGGGCCTGTCATGGTTCATTCAGGGAAGGACAACCATAATAGAAAATTGTAATGGCTGGTCATTAAGGGGTTTAACCCCTTAAGGACGGCAGACGTTCTATGCCGGCAGGCCGTATAGAACGTCTCCATCATTTATATTTACCGGCTCCCCACCATTCCCACACTGGTGATTGGAGATGGGATGTCAGGCTGATCAGCGGCTGATCTGGTACTCCTGGGCCATGTGATTGTGGGGTCCTCCCGATAACATGGCCAAAAAATGGCTGTCTCCAGCTCTGCCTGCAAGGGAATTGCCTGGTATGTCAGGCAGTCCCCCATATGCCTGTAAAAAGTCATTAAAAGTAAAAAAAATAAAAATAAATTTAAACAGTTTGCTCATTAAATAAAAGTACTTAGATTATATATATATTTATTGAACTGGCTTGCATTCACGGTCTTTGAATGATAAAATTTAATTCTTTATTGAAAAAAGATTAAAACGTGTGGATTGATGTTTCAGTCCCCATCTGGGACTTTCCTCAGGATCATAGATGATCTATATTCTATGATCCTGAGGAAAGCTATTATCATTTAAAGACCGTGAGTGCAAGCCAGTTCATTCATGAATTACATATATGTATAAAAATCATTTTTTAAAATGATATATATATAAATTCTACATGCATATTTATGTATTTTTTTTTACCTAATTAAGTAATTTTATTGATTATGATTTCAAGGACTTGCCTTCCAACCCAGGCAGAAAGTTCAGATAATCTAATTTGCAAGCTGTATATGTAACCCTGTAACTTTCCAAAACACCATAAAATATGTATATGGGGGTACTGTTACACTCAGTAGACTTCTCTGAACACAAATATTTGTGTTTTAAAACATTAAAATGCATAATAACAATGATTTTATCATTGAATGTGCAGTTATTGTGTGAAAAAAAGCAAAAAACAAATGTGAACGCTATGTTTGGCCAGGACTTGTGACTAACTGGCTACTAAAAAAGACTGGACACACCCCATTTGCAATGCCCTGGGTTGTCTACTTTTTCAAATGGAATGCCATGATGGGAGTAATTTTCACACAGTCTCAAAGGCAACATAACCAATCTGACAAATTTCAATGTGTATAAACTAAAAAATGGAACGTGCTATATTTGACCCTGTAACTTTCCAAAACACCATAAAACCTGAACTTTGGGAGACATCGCTTAACACAAATATATGTCTTTTATTGTACTAAAATATAGCAGTATTATAGAAATCACAGTCAAATTGCCATGCAGAAATAAAAAATAACACAATTTCCTAATTTCTCACATGTTTTTAGATTTTATTCATATTAAATTATATTTCATAAATAAACAAGAAAGGAACATGCAAAGCAAACGTGCAATATCTGGTGCTTCAAAGGAACTAAGTGCAGCTAATAGTGAACAGTGCATACAATTTTGTCAGTATTTAGTGTATTATAAATCCATTCCCCTAACCACATTGCAATTATGTGCAGATAAG